AGGAAAAACACTACAAAGTCACCTAAAATCCCTCCAGAGCCAGACAGCAATCGCTACCCTCTTGCTCTGCTTAATTATAGTCATTTTACGTAATTGCAAATCTGGCATCTATAGCGAGTGTTTCTGAGTGACAGTCTCCTTGTCCGAGCCCCGACTGTGTCTGCCTTTTCCTGCACACTCAGTCCCTGCGACCCAGGAGGAGCTCACTGGTAAACTGGTGACAGGGATTTCCACGGAGCCATCGGAAGTGTGACCACGTCCCTACTGCTAGGTACAGAAAACTCCAAGTATCTTCAAGTAGAAATAAAATTGTCCGTAAAATATTTGTATGTTTGCACTTGTTTATTTACCCCTCACACACGGACCCTTTCCCCTCTGACTTCGGCTTCCTGGCACCCTCTCTCCTCATGCTCCCCACCTGTCTGGAGACTCCTGTTCACTCTCCTGCTAGTCCCTGACCCTGCCCTGTGGCCCTTTCTGCCCTCTTCCCTCTCATTCTGTGACCCCGCACTGGCAGAGCTAATCACCATCCCCAAGCCCCAGCCCTGGACACCCATCCCCAGCTCCAGCTCAGTGCTGCCACCTGCCAGCCCAGCCCCTGCACTGCGCTGCCTCCCACAGCCTCCACCACCTCTGCACAGTGGCCATCGTGCCCTTGCCATCTCCACCTGTCCCTTCTGCAAGCGTCACCGCACAGTCACCACCAGGGCAGCAGGTGGGAGCACAGTCAGGAGGAGGCCTGTGCACAGCGGAGGAAGGGGAGGCTCCGGGGGCCGAGGGCGCACCTGGTTGCAGGTGGGCTTGTACTTGAGCCCCGGCTTGTCCAGGATCATTTGCAGCTGCTTGTGGTTGAAATTGGACACCCCGATGGACTTGGTTAAACCCAAGTCTTTACACTGCTCCAGGGCCTGGCAGGGAGGAAAGGTGCGGGAGGATTCTAAGCAGTTTGCCCTCCGTGGGACTGACTTGCACTTCTGAAACGCTGGAAACTGAACACTCAGAGCAGCTAGACCGACCCCAGCACGTCTGTCCCTTGCTCACACGTGTCACAGTGCACGTCCCTGTGTGCGTCCGTGTCCACCCCCGTGATCCTGTTTCATGCACACACAGAAGGAGGAACCCACAGGGGATGCTCTTAACCCCCCTCACGGCACCCACCCCGCCCTCTGTGCTGAGTTTATCTGTCC